TAAATATATATAAGTGATATATATAAATATATATATATATAAAGGATATATATATAGGATATATATATATATATATCAGTGGACCATTTTTCACGATAAAATGTACAAAAAAGAAAAAGAAAAAGAAAAAAAAACAGTTAAATACATTAACTAAAGTTCTTAAGCCGTGATTAATAAGGATTTTGGCATATGAAATGTTATCTTTTTAAAGTAAGATAAGCTAAGAAATGTACATCTTAGGCCATGAATAAGTCTTCTCCAGTTCTCCCACGCGGAGCAAATGTATCATATCTTCTTTGATGTATAGGCCCTCAGCTCAAGTCATTTAAATTTTCTTTAATTTCCTTCTGATTTCTTAGTTGTAGATGGGTTTGGCTTGAGTCACTTAACTTACTAGTCAATAGCAACTGGATTTAAATTAAAGCTAATTTCTTAATTAGCAGCATACAAATTAGGCCACTGATGGGCCAAATTCCCCGACATGGACTAGGTAATTAATTCAAATTAGAGCTAGGATCAACACTTGCACACAAATTTTCAGAAATTAATTTTTTTTAAAACTTGAGAAAATTTTCAAAGACACCACCAAGGGAAAAAAAAAAAGGGAAAAAAATAAGAATAGTTAGGGAATGCTAGAAGAACAAGGATGCTTATGGTTAGGGGTGTTTGCAGCATGGATTGGATCAGATTTTGACATTTTATAACCAAACTAATTTAATTATGGGTTTCCAAAAAAACAGGACGTCCTAAGATATTAGGACGTCCTATTTTTCCTTTTTTTTTTAATTATATAGTGAAAGTTATAAGTTAATCTAATCTACTATTATATTATAACTAAATTACTTCAATTGACATTCAATTGGTGTAGTTTGGTCAGCTTATTAGTTTTCTAACAGTATTTTGAATATTTTTAATTAGATGAAAAATCAAAGTATCAAACTATAGAAAGTATCAAATTATAGAAAATATAATTGTAAAACACAATAATATCATAGACTATAACGTGATAATACAAATTACTAGATTGAATAAAAAAATTAAGAAGAAGGGGAAAGAAAAATGTAAAAATTAATAAAGCAACAAAGAAATATCAATTAAATTATCTGATTTATAGGAAAAATTAAAAATTGACCTTTATTAATTGTTTAATTAACTTCATCAACTTAAAATTAATATTAAGATTAATATCAGTTTTTATATTTTTTATATATTTATGATAAAAAT